AGGTCCATTACAAATGACTAATTGAAACAAATGTATATTAAATACAACCACCAGTCAGTACTGACAGGTCCATTACAAATGACTAATTAAAACAAATGTATATTAAATACAACCACCAGTCAGTACTGACAGGTCCATTACAAATTACTAATTAAAACAAATGTATATTAAATACAACCACCAGTCAGTACTGACAGGTCCATTACAAATGACTAATTAAAACAAATGTTTATTAAATACAACCAGTCAGTACTGACAGGTTCATTACAAATGACTAATTAAAGTACTGACACAAATAATATTGTATTTTAATGCAAAAGTTCTTAACTTTAGCTATCAGAGATCATGATAAAGTAAAGCTTAGGAATTTTCTTATAAAGATTTTAACTGATCCAATAAAGTAAAGCTTAGGAATTTTCTTATAAAGATTTTAACTGATCCATTAATGTTTTTATTCATACGGACAAAGGAACTCACGTCCACTCCATCAAGAGAATGATTGCAAGTAATTTCAAACTTCTTCATTAGTAACTGTTCCCCGACATGGTAAATACACACATTCTTAGAACGGCCTCCAGCTAATATCGATTCTCCATCTGTACTGTAGCACAATGTAGTGAAGGCCCTGATGAGGAAGAAATTTTAAATTACATGGTTAACACTAAGAAATCCGTATAAAACACTAAACTACATTAATGTACATTTGAATCACACGACCCGTTGCCTGATGATATTTTCCTTACCAGTAAAATAGGTCAACCGTAGGCACTTACTTCTCTACTGTATCCTTTTATTTCTGTTTGACATATTAAACACACAACATTCACAATAATTAAGTCAGAGTTCTGTTGTTTTGGTCCCAAGTCCCACTTATGGACTCAACAATATATATATACAGTTAAGGCTAAGATAAAATATATACCATGAGTTTTTCAACTTTATATCACAGTAGAAAACTTACTGACTGCCTTGTAATTTCTTTGCTGTCACCAAGTCTGTGTCTCTTCTTCCAGCTCCGAGGTCATTTCTTCCTTCTATACTGCCCGTCTGAACAGAAGTGTTGATGTCAAAAAACAGGATTTGGCCATCTAATGTGGCTACAGCAAACTCCTGTCCATCTGGCCGAAACTGAACAGTCAGAGCTACAAACAAAAACCGATAAATTGAACTGAATATCCAGAGTTACAGACAAAAACCGATAAATTGAACTGAATATCCAGAGTTACAGACAAAAACCGATAAATTGAACTGAATATCCAGAGTTACAGACAAGAAAAGTACATTAAACTAAACATCCAGAGTTACAGACAAGAAAAGTACATTAAACTAAACATCCAGAGCTACAAACAAGAAAAGTACATTAAACTGAACAGCCAGAGCTACAAACAAGAAAGATACATTAAACTAAACAGCCAGAGCTACAAACAAGAAAGATACATTAAACTAAACAGCCAGAGCTACAAACAAGAAAGACACATTTTAAAATGTCAAGGACTAATTTACTTCTTGGTGGTGTTATTTTAAAATGTCAAGGACTAATTTACTTCTTTGTGGTGTTATTTTAAAATGTCAAGGACTAATTTACTTCTTTGTGGTGTTATTTT